CCATCTAATCTCCTCTACTTCGATAACCCTGACGGCACACAAACGCGCACGGCTAGCAATTTTATTCTTGCGGTCTGTTTGCGTTCAGCGAGAAAGATCTTCAGAGGGTGCCTTCTCTCTCTCTCTCTCTCATCTCTTTCTCTCTATCTCTCTCTCTCTCCTCGAGCACCTGGGCCCACGAGCAAACACAGCCGTAGCAAGTATTCCTATACACATCAAATTGGCGGTCATGTTGAGACTCAAGAGAGAGAACTTCAAAGAGGGGCCTTCCTCTCTCTCTGCCTCTCTCTCTCTCTCGAAGCAATCCTGGGCCTGCACGCCCGTTGCAGTATTTTTCATTCAAATTGTGCGGTCACTGTTGACTCAGACAGAAGCTAACAAAAAACATCAGAGGGCACACAGTACCCTCTCTCATCTCTCTCATCTCTCTCTCTCTCTCTCTCTCTCGAGCACCCTGGAGCCCCCGCACGCCATAGCAAGTATTTTCAGTTCAGTTGCGGTTGCCGAGCTCAGAGAGAGCTTCTCAAGGGGAACCACCTCTCTCTCCTACTCTCTCTCTCATCATCACTCATACTCGAGCAACCTGGGCCCCGCACGCCGTAGCAGTATTATTCCAATACACATTCAATTTGAACGGTTCTGTGTGAAGCTCAGAGAAGAGCTCTCAAGAAAGGTGCCTTCTCTCTCTCTCTCTCTCTCCTCTTCTCTTCACATCCTCTCTCTCTCGAGAGCCTGGGCCCCGCACAAGTAGCAGTATTTTACATTCAAAAATCGCGGTCTGTTGAAAAGAGGAGGGGGCAAGAAAACTCTCCAAGGGTGTAGATTCCCTTCTCATCTCTCTCTCGAGCACCCTGGGCCCCGCACGCCGTAGCAGTATTTTCATTCAATTGGCGAGGTGCTGCTGCGTTCAGAGGAGAGATGAAAAGGGAAAACAAACAAAGTCTCAGAAAGGGGCCAACTCACTCTCTCTCTCTCGAGCACCCTAGGCCCAAGCAACGCCGTAGCAAGATATTTTCATTCATTGCGGCCTGCTGAGGTTAGAAGAGAGCTCTCAGAGAGGGCCTTCTCACCAAAAAAAATCTCGTCTCTCTCTACTCTCTGAGCAACCCTGGGCCACCGCACAAGGTACAAAAAAATAAAAAACCGTAGCCAAAGATCAAATTTCTCATTCAGATCAATAATTGCCTTCCTAACTAGTCTGCTGAGCATCAGACAGAGCTACCAATACCAAGAGAAAAGAGGAAAGCCCCCTCTCTCTCGTCTCTCTCGAAGCACCCTGGAGGCCCCGCACAGCCGTAAGCAAGATTGTTTCCAATTTTCAAATTTATTTTACATAATTCGACAAAACATTTCAAGAAAGCGCTGCTGAGGCATTGTTGCAATCCATGACATAAAAAAATTGTTTACTCAAAGAAAAAAAGCCATGATTGCAACAAAGCCTCAAACACGAAGTCTCACCAGCTTTCTAGAAAGGTTGCCGACCCACAAATTATAACAGATATCGCCAAACATTAGTCTTGAAACAAAAATAAAAAACAAAAAGCGATGATAGGGCATGTTGCGATCCAATGACAAAATGTTTTCGAAAGCCAATGGATTGAACAAACAAGCATCACACGCCCTTAAATCTAGAAAGTTGCGAACACCAACAAATTTTAACAGGTTCGCAACATTATAAATCTGAGAAAGCGTTAAGGGCTTGTTGAGCGATACCATGATCAATAAAAAAATGTATTTCATGAAGCACATGGATGCAACAAAAGCCTCAACACGCTAATCAGAAATGTTGCGAGGGCGGGCCAAAAGACAAGACACCAAACAAAGTAAAATAAAAAATAAAAAAAAAAACCAAAAAAAAAGAAAACAAAAAAAAAAAAAAAAAAGACAAAAACATAACAAAAAAAAAAACGAAACAAAAAAAGGACAAAACAACGAACTTTGGTACACTGATTTACAACGATGAAAGTTCATCGAAACATAAATTCAGTTTGTAAACAACAAGAAATAGCTCTCAGGCAATAAATACTTCTAAATGATGTTTGTGCCTGGAAAACTTGCTTATTGTGGGTCATCTAACAATGTAACGTGGTAGCTACACTGATTTACTATGATAAGAGTTCATTGAAACATGAATTACAACTTTGTAAATAACAACAAACAGCCTCAGGCAATTAAGTGCTGTTTTTCCTATAACTTTGTACACTTATCTACTTTGGAAGTGAAATATACAGATGACGACTAAGAGTCCGAGGCAATAAATACATGTTACTTTTTATATGGACATTATGCCCCAATGCATGTGCATGCCGTAAAAAAAGGAAAGGAGACAAGTAAATAAAAAATTGTACGAATTAAAAAACTGTGGCATATAGGGATGTCATAAAAAGCAAGGAGACAAGACAGGGATGACCTGGGCATGTGATGCAGTAGTACAATAGGATGATTGTTACATCTTCTAACTGACATTTCTTGCTCGTGTAAATTTTAATCCACACAAGCCCTACATTGTCGCAAAGCACGAGTGATCTCTACAGTATGATGTGCAGCTATGACTCGTTTCCTATGCAGGTAAGACTGGTAGCAAATGCCCTCTCTGACAGGTCCTCAGTTTTGAATCGTGACTGCGTTTACTTCAATGTTCGCCCAACTAACCGGTTTTACAATGCTGCTTTCCCTACAGAATTCGTTCGCCAGTCTTCACACTATACAAAACTCATGTCATGAGTAAGAGTGGCGACAATATAGGGCTTGTGTGGATTAAAATTTACATGAGCAAGAAATGTCAGTTAGAAGATGTAACAATCATCCTATTGTACTACTGCATCACATGCCCATGTCATCCCTGTCTTGTCTCCTTGCTTTTTATGACATCCCTATATTCCACACTTTTTTTAATTCGTAGAATTTTTTATTTACTTGTATACTAAGTACTACCGTACTTAGTGATATAGCGATTGGCATGGTACTTAGCATCATAGATGTATGGGGCTATTATAGGGAGTTTTGTTCATCTTCTCCTTCTCCTTCTCCTTCTTCAGATTCAACACCCATAACTCAAAAATGAAACAACATATAGTAATGAAATTTTGTAAGAATATAGATATCCGTCACCCGAAGAGACTGGTCATACTTATTTCTTTTTAAACAACATTGTTTACTGTAAACAACAACAAATAGCCCCAGGCATACATTATAAAGGGATCATAATTATGTGTCAGTATAACTCACAAATGGTAAAAGCTATGTGAACGAAACTTTGTAGACATAATGTATTCAATTACCAACATCAAAATCACAACAATACATGTTTGTAAACAACAACAACTAGCCTCAGGCACTTTCTTTAAATTTGCTTCTTCACTCCTCAAACTTTCCAACGGTAGCAGGCATAGAGATGAAACTTGGTCATTCCCATGACAATTACATGTTTCCATGACGACTGCATTTTGTTTGAAAAAGCCTCAGGCAATTTTCTTTAAAACCACTTCTTCACTCCTCAAACTTGCTAACTGTAGCACGCATGGAGGTGAAAAGGCATGTGTATTATATCGTTTCCATGACGACCAAAACAACAAATAGCCTCAGGCACTTTTCTTTAAAATTTCTTCTTCACTCCTCGAACTTGCTAACAGCAGCACACATGGAGATGAAACATGGTATGCAAATCATTTACATGACGACAACAGGCATTTTTTCTCTAGTATGTTAATTTTTATAGGGGCTTGCCCCATTCCACAGAGATAATACGTAGTAGTATATAAAAATGAGTGGAGACAAGTAAGTTAAAAAGTAAGTTAAAAATCCTGCGAAATTAATAAAAGGGGTGGTATATAAAGAAAGGGAGACAAGATAGGGATGGGATACACCCCCAACTCCATCACACAATCCCTATATCGTTGCCTGGTGTGCCACTGTACTCTTGGTTACTCAATAGCATGACTTCTTCGTATTTTAAAGCTAGACTATTGTGCAATGTTGAATGTTCAATGCTTCACCTAGGCAACAATATAGGAATTGTGTGATGGGGTTGGGGGTGTCAGCATGCTAAAATCTGTCATTAACCATGCTTCATGTATCCAATTCCTATCTTGTCTCCCTTTCTTTTTACAATAAAAATCCTGCGAATTTAAAAAAAGAGGCATATATAATAGGGATGGTATAAAAAGAAAGGGAGACAAGATAGGGATGGGATACATGAAGCATGGTTAATGAACAGATTTGAGTACGCTGACACCCCCAACCAGATCACACAATCCCTATATTGCTGCCTACAGGCTAATAAAGGTTACTAAAAAGCAAGCATTCTTTCACCGTGTCCCTGTTGTTTTTAGTAACATTTATACTGCCACATTACCTTTAATTAAACTCCACTTGGACTCTATAAGGGTGTTGGTTACGCAGTGTATTGTAAGTTCTGATGGTGAATGTTTAATACTTCACCTAGGCAACAATATAGGGATTGTGTGATCTGGTTGGGGGTGTCAGCGTACTCAGATCTGTTCATTAACCATGCTTCATGTATCCCATCCCTATCTTGTCTCCCTTTCTTTTTATACCATCCCTTTTTTTAAATTCGCAGTTGTATATATATATAAGTATGTTGGATATCGTTATAATTATATATGACCCAAAACTTGAACAGCCTTTCTTTTATACCCATCTGTATATGCCTCTTTTTTTAAATTCGCACGATTTTAATTTACTTGTATATATAAGTATGTTGGATATCGTTATAATTATAATATAATTATGACCCAAAACTTGAACAGACCACGATTATACATTCAAGGTCAATATTGATGTTTGTCCAGATATCTGCTAAGTTGGAATGTCGTTGGATGAAGAGTATTAACTAAGGGGCAAAAGAAAGTCTGACAACTGTATTAATGTGTTTTGACTTTCCCAACAGTAGTGAAGTGTTGTGGATATCCTCGCTCTAAAGTAATGCATGATTGTTAATTCGAATCGATTCCTATAATATTAATGACCCACAGCCATCTGTAATGGATATTAGTAGATAAACGATTCCTGTATTATAAGATAGGTGAGAGAGGTAGATCACGCGCATGCGCGACGGTTGTCGGCGACGGGTTAACACCTTTTGCGTCGGTCCTTGTCTGGTCCTAGTGCGTTTTTGCTTTAGTAACCTCGGGCGGCGGGCGAAGAGCAGACGGCGGCCATACAGAGCTCAACTGAAGAGAGAGAGAGAGCGCGTGGGGGGGACCCAGTAGCGCGCGCAAGTGGGTGGGGTCTGGACAACTTGCGCCGCAAACGTGTAACAAAAAACAAACAAAAACAGAAAAAACATCAAAGGGCAAAAAAATAAACGATAAGCAAAAAAATGAGTGGGAGATGTGAAAATTAAAGTCAAACAAAATCTGTCTCTGTCTTCATAAGGTTCGTGCTCGTTTGGCTGAGGAAGGAATTCCGACATCATCATTCACATTGCCATACCCACCACCACCTGGAGTCTCTAGATGAAAAATGTCCTGCAGAACAGAGGAAAACAATTTGCTATTTACTTAGTTAAGTGTAGTGACGAGTATGTAGGACAATGTACCTTCGGCTTACAGAAACAAACATCCCTACTGCTTTCGTTCAGATTCCCTTGACGTATTATTCATTACTATTCCTAGCCTGATTCAGACAGTTTACCTTGAATTGGCATGTTGGATTGTATATATGTGTACGAAACATAATGGTAATGCCAGCGATACAAACGTTCAGATAATAGTGAAGTAAATAAAGCTCCACTATAATTATAGAGCAACAGGAAAACAAAGTAAACTGTTATTACTTACCCCTGCTGACACAGGTGTTTTAAACTTGCCACCTAAATTTTCTTCACTCCCATTATGTCTGTATATGATGTTTCTGCCCTTCCTTCCTGGTTCTCCACCTGTATGTAATTCATGTTCTTGAGAGGTTTGGTAAGATTAAGTGAACACAGTAGATATGCAACTGGCACTGTGGTACCAAACCCTCTTGCACAAACCAATAAGCATGTGCAGTACAGCTAATTGATGGACTGGGCTCTGCAAGCGAATACGTGTTGTTACCTCTTGTTCTACCAGAGCAAGTGGATCAGTAAACCAGTGCGATTATGCATATTGGCTTCTTCGCTTGTTTTCACGCCATCTCTCGAATGCAGTCGCTATTCTCCTATAACTTTTCATGTGGGGGCAGTTCTAAATATGTTGTTACCACTCAAAGGCCGCCACGTAGCTTGTAGTGCCAGAATAAGTATGGATTACCAACAGATTGAAGCACACTGAAACCCCTGAGCCCATCACACAATCCCTCTTTTGTCGAGGTAAGCCAGTAGTGATTTGCATATTGGCTTGTTCACCTGTTTTACGTTCTTCAACTTTCGAATGCGGTGCTTTTACAAAAATCGCCTAACCCAAATTTGCTGGACATATATGTGTTATGCGAAATTTCCTACATTGCACACTCCACTCAGAGGAGGGTGGGCAAGACAAGCTTGTGTGGTTAAGTATGCCAGGATCATTAACAAAACATGACCTTCCAATGCTCATAAGCATTTAAGTAAATTTGGTGTATAGTTCAGCACAGTGCCAGCAAATGTTTCTAGGTCTAGTGGATACACACACATCAACTAAAAATCCTGCAAATTTAACATATAGGGAAAGTGTGCCTAAGGCTATTTGGTTGTAGTTTACAAACATGTAGTCGTCATGGAAACATGTAGTTGTCACAGAAATGATGTAATAGGTAGGCATCCCAAGTTTCGTCTCTGTGTGCTACCATTAGAAAGTTTGAGAAGTGAAGAAGGCAATATAAAGAAAAGTGCCATTTGTTGTTGTTTACAAACATGCACTGTTAATTTTGATGTTAGTGATTAAAACATTATATATACTAAGTTTCGTTCACATATATACAGTGCTCCAGGCAAGGACAGCAGAAAGTGTACTTTTTAACTCCAGCAATTTTCTGGGCCATACTGAACATCAGTGAAACATATGACGTATCGCCCAATCTTTGAGGACTAATTTGATCACAGTGATAAGCATGGTCCAGAAACAATTGACCTGTAGTGAAAAAGTACACTTTCTACTGTCTTAGCCTGGAGCACTGTAGGTTACTATTTGTGAGTTACATTGACCAATGTGCACCTTTAAAATGTATTGCCTGGGACTAAATTTGTTGTTGTTTACTGGAAACAATGTTGTTCACAAACAATAAGTATAACCAGTCTCTTTGGGTGATAATACCTCAATTGTGACAAAAATTTCATTACTATATGATATTTCGTTTGAGTTATGGGTGTCGAATCTGAAGGAGGAGAAGATGAGCAAAACTCCCTATTTAGCCCCATACATCTATGATGCTAGGTATATACCATGCCCATCCCTATATTATACTAAGCATACATACATGTCCACCACTATCACTAAGTATGGTAGTACTTAGTATAAATTTACATGTCTCCACTCATTTTATATACTACTACTACGTATATCTCTGTCAAAGGGGGCAAGCTGTTATAAAAATTAGAAAAATGCCTGTTGTCATCATGGAAATGATGTAATACGCATGTGTACGAAGTTTTATCTCCATGTGTGCTGCTGCTAGCATGTTTGAAGAGTGAAGAAAAGCCTGAAGCTATTTGTTGTTGCTAAAACGATGTGGTCGTCATGGAAACGATGTCATATGCATGCGTAAAACTATTAACAAGTTTGAGAAGTGAAGAAGTAATTTTAAACAAAACGGCTATTTGTTGTTGTTCAAGCAATATGTGGTTGTAATGGAAACATGTAGTTGTCATGGAAATGATGTAATATGCATGTGTACCAAGTTTCATCTCTATGCGCGCTACTGTTAGCAAGTTTGAGGAGAAGAGCCTGAGGCTATGTGTTGTTGTACAAAAAATATGTAGTCGAAACATGTATATAGTTGTCAGGGAAATGATGTAATATGCATGCATACCAACTCTATACGAGATGTGAAGAAGTCAATTTAAAGAAAAGTGGCCGAGGTTGTTTACAAACATGTATTACATTATGCATACAAATTTCGTTATCTTACTAATTGTGACTTATACTGACACGTGATCCCATTATAATGTATTGCCTGGGGCTATTTGTTGTTGTTAAAGGTAAACAATGTTTTTTACAAACAAATAAGTATCACCAGTCTCTTCGGGTGGTGGATATCTACATTCTTACAAAATTCTATTACTACATGTAATTCGTTTTTGAGTTAAGCGAGTTCAATCTGAAGAAGGAGAAAAATATGAACAAACTCCCTATCATAGCCCCATACATCTATGATGCTAGGTACCATGCCCAGTCCTATACTAAGTACTATAATTATAGTGATAGGGATGACACAGGTTATCCTGCATTACGCCAATATATTTGAGATTTGTACGCTTCACTCAATCAGATCCCACTTCTGGACATATTAGTCTGATCCATACGGTCAAATATAGCATGTACCTAAGATGTGGCTTAAATCGCATAATCGGTAATTGATTTATTCAAGAATGTTACTTAAAAACTTCTTCTTGCTGTTGCTGCTGTTGTTCAGTTTAGTGTATAGCTCATTTGAATCGAGTAATTTGATTGGTCAATACAAAGTTTTTGCAAAGTAACTTGTTTGGAATGTGAACGTACACAAAAACGTGGTAAGGAACCTACAATTTCAAAGAAAAACATGGTATGGAACCTACAACTTTACAGAATTATATGGAAAGGGACCTACAACTTCTACAACTTCTACAATTTTTACACGTTTTCAATATGATAGCATCAAAAATACCTCAGAAATGCGTATGTGTGCCAGTGTGCACATGTGGGTGCAAAAATAAAAGAGGGCGTAGAACAGCTTAGTCAGCTAGCCCCTGCAGTACAAAACCTAGCCAAAGTCTTGCTCACTCGAAAGACTAGCTAGCGAGACTAGCTTAGCTCGTGCATATTGCTGGCTTACCGGCGAAAGCTGTCGAAACACTAGAGCTAGAGGCTGGTACAGTGCCGCAGTGTGCTGCCAGAAGCACTGCCGCCCACTTTTTCCCGTTTAACTACGCTTGGTCCGCTCAAGCGCTCTCGCGCGTGCCTACCAAATCTTGAACATGGAAGCTAACACTCCGTCCTTATGCTCTGCACTAAAATGGTTAGACAATGGAACGCTCTAGACCTACGTAAAGTTCAGACACCCTCGGGAGATGTAGTGCCCTCGCTGCGCTCGGGACACCACAGCCTTCGACTTTCGAAAAACCAGGTAAGTTACAAATTGAAACTTTGCACAGAGATTGGAATCCATGACCCGGCATTGCAACAGCTTTTTATTAACCCTCGGCGGGCACGCAGCGAGAGTACAGTACTTGATCCGTGAGTGTGTCCGTCTGTCTGTTACCGCACCCACGTGCAAGAAATCTGCCAAAGAGTGATAGTAACGTGTTCAGTGCTACACTGGCTTGATTTTAAAACACGTGAACAAGCGCAATATGCAAATAAGCACAGACTTACCTCAACCGGGTCCGCTTGCTCTGTGTACCTTGGAGGCACAACAGGTCATAACGAATGGCGTGTATCAACTCCCACATGCTATCTACTACTGTAGTTAAGACTCTGCGCGAGCTACTCTAGCGGGAGACGAGTAAACGCATACTAATATCTAAGCCCGTCAATTAGCGGTATCACCTATACGCAGTTTGCTGAGTGTTTGCATTTCAGTGGTTTCCATTTGTTTGTAAACAATTTTGTTTATTGCCGAGCGCATTAGCACGAGGCAACTACTCACGCTTAGGAATGTCAATTTGTCACCAAAAGGAAGTGTAACTTCCGTCATTCGTAGGAAGTCTAGCTTCCGCCGTGCGCGCAGATTCGTAGGAAGTTTGGCTTCGCGCGCAGTCAGTAGAGCGCGCGCACGAGCGGCCTCAATCGGACTGTTTACGCATTGGCTGACCGGCGCGAGGCAAAATATGCGCGTGCGCATTCCTAGTATGTAAACAACATATAACAAAAAAATTTAGCCCCAGCCATACACCATGCTTGAGACCAATAAAGTGTGCTAAAACTTTCAACCAACCATTAGCATCAAATGTAAACATTACAAGTTTGTAAACAACAACAAAACAGGCAACGAAGTTGCAAAATGTCTTTGTGCCCATAACTTGCTTATGGTGGGTCCTCTAACAATGAAACGTGGTACACTAATTTACCATGACAAGAGTTTATCGAAACAGATATTACAAGTTTGTAAACAACACAAACAGCCTCAAGCAATAAAAACTTGTAAATGGCGGTTGTGCCTCTAACTTACTTGTGGTTGGTCCTCTCACAATGAAACTTGGTACACTGATGTACATAAAATGTTTGCAAACAACAACAAACAGCCTCAGGCAATAGTTCTAAATGGTGTTTGTGCCTATAACTTGCTTATGGTGGGTCCTTTAACAATGAACTTGGCACACAAAATAGAAATTACTAGTTTGTAACCAACAACAAACAACCTCAGGCAATAAAAACTTGCAAAATGTGTTTGTGCCTATAATTTGCTTATGGTTGGTCCTCTAACAATGAAACTTGGTACACTTATTTACCATGATAAGAGTTAATCGAAACAAAAAGTACAAGTTTGAAAACAACAAACAGCCTCAGGCAATAAAAACTAGTGACCTGTGTTTGTTTATGCTGCGTCCTCTAACAATGAAACTTGGTACACTTATGTACTTCGGTGAAAAACGTGAATGACGACAAGCAGTCTGAGGCATGAACACATAGGCCCTTAATACTACTTAGGATGACCTAGTGCACGTGATAAAGTAGTACAATGGATGATGATTCCATCTTCTAACTGACATTGCGTGCTTGCGTAGATATTCCACCCTCCACACAAGCCCTATATTGTCGCGAAGCACGAGTGGTTTCCCTCTTACGATGTGCAGCTATGACTGATTTCCTAAGCAAATGAGACAGGTAAACCACACGTGGTTCCCTCTCTGATGTTGAGTCTTGACAGCATTATTTTTTTATAGTCCATGACTTCCATATTCGCTTAACTAACTAGTTTTACAATGCTGTGTTCTTGGCCCTTTACAGAATCATGTCTTCCTACTCTACATCATTCCCTAAAGAAACTTACGTTTTAAGTGGCGACAATATAGGGCTTACGTGGAGGAAAATTGACACGAGCAAGCAATGTCATTTTGAAGATGTAACCATCATCCATTTACTGCATTACATGCACTAAGTCATCCTTGTCTTGTCTCCTTGCTTCTTATGGCATCCCTATATTCCACACTTTTTAATTTTTTAATTTAGTACTCAGTATAATAGGGATGGGCATGGTACCTAGCATCATGTATGGTGCTATGATAGGTAGTTTTGTTCACAGATTCAACACCCATTACTCAAAAACGAAAAAACAACATAATAGTAATGAAATTTTGTAGGAATGTAGCTATCCGTCACCCGAAGAGACTGGTCCTACCTATTTGTTTGTAAACAACATTGATTACTGTAATTCACTAAAGTGCAAACCGTCGGCGAACTGCGCATGCGCGATACTGCTAATTGATGGGCTGGGCTATTAGTTGTATGCGTTTACTCGTGGTCTCCCGCTACTGAGTAGCTCGCGGAGTATCTGACACGGACTAGCTACAGTAGTTGATAGCATGCGGGAGCCGATACATGGCATTCGTTGTGACTTCCCAAGGTACACAGAACCAGCGGATCAGGTCGCTGTTAGCCAGCAAACTGCGTTGATCGCGATGCATGCACACCGCTTATTGATGGGTTGGGCCACACAACGCGGTCCGCGACCGTGCCAGTTTGTCGCTCTCGAACGCAGTCGTTCCAGGAAAATCGCCTTTTTATTTTTCAGGCTCGAGTAGTTCTGAAGCCGTCGGTATCGTTAATGGGCTGCCTTGTAGCCTGTAGTTCAAGAAGAAGCGTTGACACACACACACACACACACACAGAGAACGACTACAACCAATATCCCCAGGCAATACATTATAATGGGATCACATGTGTCAGTATAACTCACAAATGGTAAGAGCTATGTGGAAACATTGTAGACATAATGTATTCAATCACCAACATCAAAATCACAAACAATAATAAGGTTTGCAAACAGCCTCAGGCACATTGCTTGAAAATTACTTCTTCACTTCCGAAACTTTCTAATGGTATATAGCACATACAGAGATGAAACTTGGTGTGCATTCATATCACATCATTTCCCATGATGACTTTGAACAACAACAAATAGCCTCAGGCATTTCTCCCCAAACTTGCTAATGGTAGCACACAAACTTGGCAAGCATGCATATTACATCGTTTCCATGACAACCATATAAAACGACAAATAGCCTTACTCGCTAACTCGGTACGCTTACCGTATTTTCCGGAGTGTAAGTCGCACCCATACTTTAGGCCTGTTATACACGGATTTGTATGGTTACTCTATTTACCGCGCACATCCGCCACACCGCTCAAGTTTCTAGATAAAAAAGTGCAACTTATATCCAGAAAATACGGTACATCGTTTCCATGACAACCAAATATTGTTCGAACAAGGCACTTTTCTTTAATATTATTTCTTCACTCCTCATACTTGTAACGGTAGCACCCATGGAGATGAAACTTGGTACGTGTATGACATTGTTTCCACAACTTCATACTGCTTAAACAACAACAAACAGCTTCAGGGCCCTTACTTCTTTACTTCTGAAACTTGCTAACGGCACCACACATTTTTCTCTATTATTAATAGGGGCTTGCCCACTTTCATGGAGATGTGTGTACTAGTCTATGAAAATGAGTGGAGACAAAAATCCTGCGAATTAAAAAAGAGGCTTTTATGATGACTGAGAGTAAGATCAAAGGAATTCCAGCTAGTCCAAACAACGTACACGCGTAATGAGCGCTTCCTGCTGAGTTTACGGGTAGTTATACCATAAAGAGGCCATACGATTTCCCCATACTTTAGCTGTATGTCAACTCATTTGCATAAACCACAATGGGTATATTGTAGTCATAAGATAGGAAATTGGCAGTGTGTAATGCAATTAGGGGGCTTTTACAGTCTTTGTGTGCTGCTCTTTCTTTATTAGAAGGGAGTGTTTTCAGGCTGGAATGGGCAGAAACTGCTCTAGTATATACGGGGTGTGAAAACTAGCTAAAAACTGCTTCCCGACGCGTAGGCTCCCGCCGTAGACAGGAAAAGTATGTGACTTTCAGTTTTCTTGCTACTGCAACAGGCTGTATTCGAGAGTGCTGGGTATAGCGGGAGAGAAAACAAGCCAGAGCGGCAGCTACAAAACTCATGTGGAGTCCAGCAGCGAAAAAGTATAGCTTTGACGTACCTGTAACGTTGAACTCTCGAAAAAATGACCATGGTTTCTGCACAACCGCCCAGCTTGACCAAACTAAAGCGCTTATTGCAGCTCTCTCCGCTCCTGACTGATCGCGCACTAGCTCTCTCCGTACACTCGAGGGTGTGCGTTAAAAAGCTTTTGCGCAATCTCATTGGTCAGAGCTTACCGCCAGATGTCATCATACAAACACGTTATATGATGGATTTGCTTGTGGTTTACTGGTTGTACACTCGTGGCTATCAAAACTGGCCACTCGTGTAAAACCAGTAAACAACGCACCGCCATCGTATAACCTATACATATAGGGATGGTATAAAGGGAGACAAGATAGGGATGGGATACATGAAGCATGGTTAATGAACATAATTGAGCACGCTGACACCCCCGACCCCATCACACGTTCCCTATATTGTTGCCTAGGTGAAGTCTTAAACATTCAACATTTGACTTACAGCTTGAAAATACAAAAATGTCATGCTACGAATAACCAAAACCATTACCATAACAATGTGAAGTCATGCTCATGGTTCTCAAGGCCGGGGCACCCTTTCATGCCTAGGTCTTGCTAGCTGACCTATCTAATGATACTGCCGTACATTACTGTTTTACCTCATATATATGTTATTTTTGTGCGGCTGTGTTCCTATGGATGTTATTTTTGTAATCTTTTGTACGGTTTATCGCACACTATTGTGATACCTTTTGATAACTTTTATACCGCCTAGTCTCTGCCTGCTGTAGTCATTTCACCACCATCGTCCATCAGCTCACGTGTTTTTGCAAGTCCCAAGTAGGTTATATGAGTGTTAATTGTAGCCCTTCTGAAGTACTGTTTTCTTTCTCTTTTTCTTTCTTTCTATGTATATAGCGCGAGCTGTTCAGTTTTTGTGCTAGTGAGTAACCAAGGGTCCAAATGGAGTGTACGAGTGGCACACCAGGCAACAATATAGGGATTGTGGGATGGGACCAGGGGTGTCAGCATGCTCTAATCTGTTCTTTATCCATGCTTCATGTATCCCATCCCTATCTTGTCTCCCTTTCTTTTTATACCATTCCTTTTTTTGAAATTCGCAGGATTTGTTTATTGAGATATACCATACTTAGTGATAACTCACAACACTTCTATTACAAGAGAGATGGTGTCAACTCCCTGATCACGTCACTGCCCCCTGCACTCCACTAGCATTAGTTATGTGTGGCTCTCTATACTTAGGCTAACAAGATTATGCATGCTTCATCTACCCTTGGCGTGCATGCACAGAAAAGGTTATGGCACTTGGATTGTAAGTGTTTGTGTGTGTCCGTCTGTCCATTACCACATTTTCAGCCACCACTACAAAAAAATGGACACAAACAGATTCTGTTAACAAGCCAGCGTCATGCCAGTGTCAAGCCAGTGTAGTGCTGAACCCGTTGGTGTCCCAAGCGGATCTCTTTGGCCACCTCTTTGTGGTGGTAGCAGAAGCAGTAGAAGGTCGTGTTTGTTAATGATCCTCACTTACTCAACCACACAAATTTGTGCAAGTGAAGTGTGCAATCTAGGCACAACACATTTGTCCACTTGACAAGTACAGTGCAAACCCTCAGCACAAAAATAATGTGTGTGTAAGTATACGCATGTGCAGTTCTGCTAATTGATGGGCTGGGCTATTTCACTCGTGGTGGTCTCTTGCCAGTTCACCAAGAGTCTGTCACAGGCTAGCTACACCACTAGATAGCATACGGGAGTGAATACTTGCCCTGCGTCGCTTTTGGTGCCTCCAAAGAAGGTTCGAGGAGGTTCGATGTAGTTTAACCAGTACAAGTATCCTACACACCTCGTTCGGTATACTGAACAAGCAGATCTGGTAAAGGTAAGCCTGTGCTAATTTGTGTATTGGCTATTATACTTGGTTTTCACGCCATAACTCTTGAAAGCAGTGCTTTTATGAAACTATAATAATTACCATTCAATCCATATGGTGAATATACTCTTCTCTCAGTTAAGAGACACAGTATCAGAGACCTCCGAAACTTAAGTTCTCTGATGACTCCATCTCCTCCAAAAAAACTTCCTCTGCCACCAGTCCCACGGTTCAGACTGAACTGTTTCAAAACTACAGGATACCTGAGAAAATTAATACATATGCATAACTTAAAGGATCCCTGGCCTTCCTCTTACCTTCTTTCTAGGATTTCAGGGTCTGTTATTCTTGTGTTTGTCATGTGAGTGTGAATACCACTTCGCCCGTGCCATGTAGGCCCCTAACATTATATGATAAAGGGTTGTGACATTATTGTATCATTATTAAGGGAGCTACTGTACGCACAAAGGGCACTCCTTTAAGCAGCTACTACCATAAGCGGCGAGTGAAGAGAGACTACTACTTCACCCGAGCATGGGAATATATATGTGACAGGCACTGCACATACCGTAATTTTCAACGTTATTCTAAACATGTGTGAATAAGGTGTAAAAAATAGTGCGCGTTCACCAAAAATGTGAATGTGTGTGGCATTCATTCTGCTATCTTGTGTACAAGGCAGTCTGTCCTGGCTGTTCCTGGACAATTCTTGACCTTGAGGTAAAGCTACCGCTTTGTGTAGGTGCCCTATACCTGGCCAGGCATGTAATAATTCCAATTAACTATACTCAATCCAGAACAATCAGATAGAATACTTACTGCGCCTGCTCCACCTGCCACAGTTTCATAGTATCCAAAGCTATCATCTCCAAATGTTGTATTGTTCATACATCCTTGAGATGCAGCACAGGTAGAGAATGCCTTAAATATAACGTCCACTACTCTTTGGCAAGTGAGAACATTACCACCGATAACAGCAGCATCATCAGATGGGTCCAAAAGACTGCCTGGTGGTATCTTAATTTGAATTGGCTTCAGACATCCCTACAAAAAGGGGAAGCACTGTCACAGAAACATCCAAATATCCTACTATAAATACCTGATTAAGTGGTATGTCATGGCCAACCATGCATCTCAGGCAATAGAGAACAGCAGAATAGGTGACATGTCGTGGAGTATTTAGATTGAATGGAACCTGATCTCCACTACCAGAAAAGTCAAAGAGAGCACTTCCCTTAAATGATAAATATACTGTTGCTTCAGCAAATCATAACTAGTGGCTAACATTTTCCTTGTTTATGGTTACTTTCAAAACAATAGGTGATCCATCATCTAGCTTATCTTCAGCCCATAGTACTGCCTCTCCAGTTTCAGCCTGAATCTGGAGTTAACATGCATTTCAGATCAGCAATCATCTAACATACATAGTGTGTATATACCTTGGTACCAATTATCTTCAGCAAATCTTGAACAGCTACTTCAGCATTTTCCTGCAATAAACTATAAATACATAGAACACATTGCAGATTAATTATACCTGGATGTGACCCATATATGCTTGAACAGTTTCTAGTCCATAGGAGTTTATCAACTCGGTAACAAGTGAAATACCCTAAACGTGAATGAAATATTCAAGAATAAAGGAGATTACTACCTTTATATTTCAAACTTCATGGCTTGAATGCTACTATATGAAGCTTAACAGGACTTCCACACTTTCATAGAAACATCAGGTGAGTATATTTTAACCCTCGGCGTGCATGCGCAGCGAGGGTTACAGTACTTGGTCCGTGTGTCTGTCTGTCTGTCTGTGTGTATGGTACCACACGCAACAAACTGGGCAAAAAGTGACACTAACAGGTTCAGCGCTACACTGGCTTCATTTTAAAAATGGCGATTTTCGTAAAACTACTGTGTTCTAAACTTATGGCGTGAAAACCAAGTCAACAAGCCAAAATGCTAATTGGCACAGGCTTACCTCGACCGGGTCAGCTTGCTCTGTGTATCTTGAAGGCACAAGAAGTCACAACGAAGGGCGTGTATTGACTCCTGCATGCTATCCACTACTGTAGCTAGCTCGTGTCAGACTCTCCGCAAGCTACTAGCGGGAGACCACGAACCCATCAATTAGCAGTACAGCGCATGCGTAGTTTGCCGAGGTTCTTCAGTACACCTGCTCTCTCCTGATGAAGCGCTGCACAAGCACCTCACAGTAGACACTGTCAGGCGATGTAGCCATCATCCATTGTACTACTGCATCACGTTCACTAGGTCATCCCTGTCTTGTCTCCTTGTTTTTATGGCATTCCCATATTCCACACCTTTTTAATTGGAAGATTTTTTTATTTACTTGTTTACTAGTAGAATGTTAAACACTGTTGGTGGGCGGGAGCTGCTTCAGCCTTTTCAGGAGTTTCAGAGGCTAAACGCTGCCTCCGCTCCCGCACTCGGCGTCAGGCAAAGTTAGAGCGCGTTTCGGCTCTTCATACGTCTTGGAGGCTAGACCCCTCCTCCTGGAAGCCCGGTCCCACGCTCGACGTTAGGACAAGCGTGTCTTTTGCGCTACCTCGCATTCAGCTGTGCGTTGATTCCTTGCTGTATCGCGGTTAGCGCAGCGTGAACTTCTGATGACTCAGTGCACAACACGAGCTGACCCTAGTCGAGGTAAGGCAGTGGTAATAATAAGCACATTGGCTTGTTCACCTGCTATTCACGCCATACATTTTGAACGTAGCATTTCTACGAAATCACCAGTGTTAAAATTAAGCCAGTTTAGCGCCAAACCTGCTGGCATAGCTTTTTGGTGGTGTTATTGCACACAATAAAATACTAGGAATGCGCACGCGCATATCTTGCTTCGCGCCTGCCAGCCAATGCGTGCGTAAACAGACCGCTGAGGGCGCGCTCTACTGACTGCGCGCGAAGCCAGACTTCCTACGAATCTGCGCACGTGCACGGCGGAAGCTAGACTTCTTATATACGGCTAACGGAAGTTGACATTCCTAAGCGTTACTAATTGACATTCCTAAGCGTGACTAATTGACATTCCACAAACGTGACTAATTGACATTCTTAAGCGTGACTGACACGTACGTACGCATATCGCGAGAATACAACTCAGAGTAGTAGCCTTGCGCTAATGCACTCGGCAACAATAAAGCAACACTATGGAGGCAGACCTTTTGGTTAGCAGCAACTTGAGCTCTTAAATCACTGATATTGTTATGAAGGTTCCTTGATCCACTACATCCAGGCAGTTTACCAGGAGCCATTAGTAACTTGGTTACTTCTGTTACAAAGAGGGATTTAAACGACAAATGAAAATTTGAAAATTGTGCAGATTATTACTGAGAAACGTTGGCAGCAGCGTATGTGCTTACAAGTCACAACCAGGAAGTTAGTATCTATCAACGATCACAGAACGCTCCCTTGGCGCACTGCACATGGTCTGTACTGCTAATTGATGGGCTGCACTGTGAGTATGCGGTTACTCGCGGTCTCCAGTTAGAAGCTCGCAGAGAGTCTGATACGGGCTAGTTAAGCATGCAGGAGTCGATAAACGCCCTCCTTTGTGACTTATTCGTCCTCCAAGGTATAAACAATGAGCTTGTTTTCACAGACAGATTGATGAACTGACGGACAGACAGACAGACAGACAGACTAAGTACTGTAACCCTTGCTGTGCATGCACACCGAGGGTTAATAACAAAGAGCATAAAACACCAAATGTTACTAGCATGTGGTACCGTGATGTTAGTGTCAATGCTTAGCTGTTCAAGTCTTTGAGATGCTTAACAGGCAATTTGTCATGGTACGCGGAAAACTAGCGCAAACACCTACATATTCATGGTAGGCAAAACATAACCCTGGATGAACGATACATTTCACTGATGGAAGAACGAGTAGACTGACAGACATTAATGACTGCCTCACAGGTACACTGGCACAGAAGCAACCCACTCCGCAAATGCATACCACAGACCTTCCTCTTGAAAGATGCCATCATTGACAAGTTTGAAGCTTTTTACATACATTCCCTCTTCCCATAAATACTTTGAGTCAGGAGGCATAGAACCTGAAATATAACATGTGAGGTGAATTAAAATTCACAGTTTTAAACATCTTTACCAGGCGTTTTCCCCCCAATGTCAGCATGGTGACCACGGTTTGCAACGAAAAAGACTGGACGGTCATAGCCAGGGTAAAAAACCTGTAGGTGGCACACTATGCACACATAAACCTAACAAAATCATCCCAGTAACAAACTGGTGTTATGACAGTCAGATCAGGTAGGTGACTGCCTCCTGCAGCAGGGTGATTTGAAAGTAAAACGTCTCCCTTCTTAAGATCTTGTCCAGACGAATGCATCTACATATGTGAGCGCATCAAGTAAAAATAGGGGCTATGACACACAGGGACAAGTTTGAGTTTGTGAATGAATTACGTAGTACAATGAATAGAGAATTTGCATGCGCGATATGGCGACGGTTAGCCACACCAGAACCGCGCGAGAGCATTACGCGCAACACGCATTGTGCTCTACGTAAGGGATTTCCCCTCCGCCCGTGTATGGCTCGTGCTATACTTGTATACACAGGGAAACGTTATAATGTGGCAAACACCCTATTTTTACTTGATGCATTCATATATGTATGTTGCACATAGTTTAATTAGCAACATATGGTGTAATCAATAACTTTTAGTGCATTATACTCTTCAGCTGTAGAGCAGTGTAGTATTTGGCAAAAGTTCATGAGCAACTCATGGAAAATTATTGTTAGCACAGAAAAGTGAGTATTCTGGGTGCAGTGTTACGTACTGCATGTCAATAGACTATACTCTATAAAGGTAATTATCTGACTCGTCATCAGAGGATCATAATAATTTCCTCCTATGTGTGTGCTGCATAGAAAAAAACCTAAAAGTGATAATTGATTGTTGGGGGAGCACTGCACTTGCCCAAAGATTTCATGGAGAGCATTCACATAATTCATGGAAGATCTGCAAAAGCAAACTAAGGAAATCATTCACAATCAAAACCTACCTGCCACTGCACTGAATACTGCATGGCACCAAGATGAACAGGAATGTGGGGAGCATTTGCAATTAATCCTCCATCGGGTCCAAAGAGAGCGCAGGAAAAATCAAGTCGTTCCTATATAAAGTTTTAAAGACCCTAGAAACACTAGCGTGGATATAAACTCAGACGCTGGTCAGTACTGCAAATTATAGGCTAGGGTATCCTGCTGATTTCCCCTAATTTTCGGTGTGCTTGGACACCTTGTCCGACTTTCACAAACAAATGAAAAGCACTAAGTGCAAGGCCTCGGCGAACTGTGCATGCACGGTAAGGCTAAGTGATGGGCTGGGCTATCAGTATGTATTGTATTCGTGGTCTCCCCCTAATGGCTCCCAGAAAGTCTGACACGGGCTAGCGACAGTAGTAGAGAGCATGCAGGAGTCGATACACGCCCTTCGTTGTGACTTCTTGTGCTTTCAAGATACATAGAGCAAATGGACCTGGTCGTGTAAGCCTGTGGTAGCCTTCTTTAAATAAAGCCAACATAGAACTGAACCCTTTACTATCGCCCTTTGGCCGACTTCTTGCGTGTGGTGGCAGAAAACGTGGTAACAGACGCTCACGAACCCATGGAAGTGCATACCCCGGTGAATTGCGCATCCGCGTTACCGCTAATTCATGGGCTGGGCTATTAGTATGCGCTTACTCACGCGGTCTCGCGCTAGTAGCTCCCGGAGACTCAGACATGGGCTAGTGACAGCAGTAGACAGATGCGGGAGTCAATAAATGCCTTTTGTTGTGACATCTTCTGCCTTTAAGATACACAGAGCAAGCGGACATGGGCCTAGCATATTGGCTTGTTGACTTGGGTTTCACCCCATAACTCTTGAACGCAAGATTTTTATGAAAATTGCCCCTCTAAAAACTAAGCCCTGACCCGTTACTATCGCTATTAGGCCGATTTCTTGCGGGTGGTGGCAGAAAACAATGTAACAGACAGACAGATGGGCGGAAGGACAGACATACCTATGAAGCATATACTGTAACTCTCGCTGCCCATGCGCGCCGATGGTTAACTACATGTAACAATAGACCATGCATATTATATATAAACAGCGTGGCCCAGCATATTAATCACCAGTCCCAACCACACATGCGTATGGGTGTGACACATACTCAAGTTTTTTTTAGGGTGTTGATTGTTTGCACTTTAATTTCTGTGCAAGGAACACACATAAGTGTGATGATGTGCATGTGGCGGACTGCTAGGTAGTGTTATATAATCATGTCATGTACCTGCATGTGTGAGGTTATGTAATCACGTTATGTTTAAGTAATCATCCTAGAACATTCGAGAACGAATGGTTCCACCACGTGATCGGTCACAATAAGAACTGTACTTTTTGTAGATTGACAGATTTTGCTATGAGTGTAATGATACTTTTGCTCAACTAGCGCACGCTCCTTTCACACAGCAGCGACAGCGATGCGCCAGCCTCCAATGTCTCTGCGTTGGTGCGCCTGCTGTTGGAGGACAGACGCGCACACGAGGAGGAACTTGCCAGAGAGCGGGAGAGACGCGAGGAAGCCGAACGCGCCCACTCGGAACAGATCAGGGAGCAACTGCAGATGATGCGTGACATGTTCGAGAGAACGGCCTCGGTCACGGCGACAGATACGACCACACACCACGACAAAGTAGTACTCCCACGTTTCGCTGAAGGAGAAGACATTGAAGCGTTTCTTACGACCTTCAAGCGGCTGATGTCCATTTACCACATTGAGGAAGGGCGATGGGTGGCCAAGCTGGCGCCACAGCTTTCAGGAAGAGCACAACAGGCATATGCCGCCATGAGTTCTGACGACACCCTGGTGTACACAGAGGTTAAGAAGGCGATCCTCCAGAGATATGACATCAGTGAGGAGACTTACCCCCAATGCTTCAGAGAGGCACGGTGCAAGGACGGAGAGCCATATATCGAGTTGGCCACCCGCATGTCAGACCTCTTCCGCAAGTGGACAGCCGACTGTTCAACGCTGGAACAGATGACCGAGAAACTACTGATCGAGCAACTCCTGGAGACGATGCCGGTCGACCTGAGGGTGTGGCTGAGTGACAAGAAGCCTAAAAACTGCAAGGAAGCCGGCAAGCTCGCTGGTGATTATCTTCTGGCACGCAAGTCAACCTGCAGGGACGACGAGCGTCTTCGCGACTCTCAGGGATCCACCACCTCTAAAAAAAGCAATCATCCGAGTGCTTCGCGTGCCACGAGCTGGGCCATTGGCAGCGTGACTGTCCAAACAAGCCAGCCGAAGAATCTACCGACGCCACTCCAAACCTGGTAACTACGACGAAACCCGACAAAAAGTCTCAGGAAGAAAGAAAATGTTACAACTGTCAACATCTGGCTAACAAATGCCCAGCAAAGTCCCTCTACTGCGGCAGGCTGGAGAACAAGGGCCCGATGGTTGGTCTGGGTGATGGTGGTTCGGTCGGTGGTGGTCTGGGTGTTGCGGGTCTGGGTGGTGGTGGTCGGGGGGACGGTGGTGCGGTTCTGGGTGAGGGTGGTCTGGGTCATGAGGGTTCGGTCGGTGGTGGTCTGGGTGGTGGCGGTCCAGGTGATGGTGGTTCGGTTAAGGGCGGTCTGGGTGGTGGCGGTTTAGTTAGGGGTGGTTCGGAGCGAGTGGTGGGCATCCTCGTCACACGGAGCGGAGCGGTCGAAGGAACCGTTGCCCACGACATTGTGCTGGATACAGGATGTACACAAACTATGGTCCACAAGGCTCTGGTACCAAGACCCCAAATGATCCCAGGGGAAACAGTCCCCGTGAGGTGTTCTCATGGTGATGTAACCTACTACCCGCTGGCCAACGTCCGCCTCTACATCCAGGGAACCGTATTCACTATCAGAGCGGCTCTCTCCCCAACATTACCAGTCTCGGACACCCCACACCTGGGTCAACTGCTCTCCGTGCAGGCGGTAGGGGGGCGCTTAGCAGAGGCCATGATCGTCACCCGTGCCCAGGCCAAGGCCCATCAGGAGGCCGAAGCTGCGCGCATACGCAGGGAGGCAGAGAGCGGGGCGAACTCCACCCCAGTTTTTGGCCAGACTCCAAAAGGGAGTAACTCGAATGAACCCCCACTGGGGAGCACTTTCAGCGATGATCTGTTCCTGTCCACAGCACCTCGACCACGCCTGTCACGTCAACAGAAACGGATAAATTGTCACTCGCACGGTCTCACTCGAGCTAAAGACAGCAAACGATGCACTGCGAAAGACAGCACCTGGGATGGACCGATGTCCCAGTACGATTTCCGAACTCTACCGAGAGACGACGAATCCCTCACGACCCTCTACAAACACGCAGCAGAGGGTGACCCCACCTTCTTCCTAGAGGACGATCTCCTCTATAGGAGGTGTACCCGAAAGCAGCACGACCATGACGGCCCCACTAACCAGTGCCGCAAGGAGGTCCAGAAGCTCGCTCATGCGGTGCCTCGTGGTGGTCACCTAGGGAGGAAGACATTCAACAGAATCGCGGTGCGCTTCTACTGGCTGACCATGTACCAGGACGTGGCCGACTTCTGCCACACCTGTGACACCTGTCAACGTTTCCGTCACCACAGGACCCCCGCGTGCCCCTACTGCCCTTACCTATCGTGGAGGAACCATTCGCCCGAATCGCCATGGATATTGTGGGCCCTCTTCCCAGGAGTCGGTCAGGGAACAGGTACGTCCTCGTTGTCTGTGATTATGGCACACCGTACCCTGAAGCGGTGCCTTTCCGCTCAATCGACACTACCACTATTGCAGAAGAGCTCATGCTCATCTTTTCCATGGGGGGCATCCCAAGAGAAATCCTGACGGATCAAGGAAGTAACTTCCAATCTCAGTTACTCAAGGAGTTATACCGCCTACTCCACATTGACATGCTGCGCACCACCCCGTACCACCCACAGACAGATGGACTGGTGGAGAGGTTCAACCAGACACTCAAAAGCATGCTCCGGAAGGCGGCCTTGCAAGAGGGCAAGCACTGGGACCGCCTCATCCCGTACCTACTGTTCGCATATAGAGAGGTGCCACAGGAGAGTACCGGTTTTTCGCCGATGTACGGGGACCTCTCGACATCCTCAAAGAGACGTGGTGCGCAGGTAGGCGCAGCAATCAGAACGTCATAGCTTACGTTATGATGACCGCCTCAAGTCCATGGCGGAGGAAGTACGCAAAAACAAGGAGGCAGCGAAGGCTCAGTAGACGACATGGTACGATAAGGGAGCACGGGAACGCTCCCTCAACCCAGGGGACAAGGTCCTCATCCTCCTGCCAACATCGTCCGCAAAGCTTGAGGCCCAATGGCAGGGGCCCTACACGGTGGTGGAAAAGGTCGGCAAAAGTCAATTACCGGATCAACACCCTGATCACAGGAAGAAAACTGCCGTGTTCCATATAAACATGCTACAGAAGAGGCACACGCCAGCCGAGACCTGTTTCAGATATTCACGATGAGACAGAAGAATTACCATTTTGGAATGACGCTGGAGAAGGAGTTGCACAAATTGGTAGTCACCTCAGTGAAACAAACACAGGAGCTGCAGGCACTCCTTCAGAACTACACCAGGGTGTTCCAGGACCGTCCAGGCTACACAACACTCACAGAACATCACATCCCGACCGAACACACTACCCAAGTTCGCCTTCCTCCATAAAGGATACCCCACGCCTTCACAGAGGAAGTCCACAAAGAGCTGAAAGAGATGCTGGCATGCGACATCATTGAACCGTCCACAAGTGAATGGGTGTCGCCAATGGTCACCGTGAGGAAAAAAGACAATAGCCTGTGTCTGTGCGTTGATTACCGACGCCTAAATGCCAGATCAGCAGGGGACGCATATCCAATGCCGAGAGTGGAGAACCTCATTGATCGCATCGGCAACGCCACATTCATCACTACTCTAGACCTAACGAAGGGGTACTGGCAAGTTCCGGTCGCAGAGGAAAACCCAAGACAGCGTTCACAACACCATACGGCTTATTACAAGAATGCCATTTGGTTTGAAAGGGGCTCCAGCGACCTTTCAGAGGATGGTGGACAAACTTTTAGAGGGTCTCGAAGAGTTCGCGAGCGCCTACATGGACGATATCGTTATCTTCAGCACTGCGTGGAATGCCCACCTCCACCAGCTCTCCTCCGTCCTAGACTGCATCCAGCAGGCGGGCCTAACAGCGAAAATTAAGAAGTGCCAATTTGCCATGGCGGAGTGCGGCTATCTCGGATATCGAGTCGGGAGCGGTAAAGTCAGACCACAGGACCTCAAAGTGAAGGCCATCCAGCAGATAGCAGATACTTGTTCCAACCACCAAGACACAGGTTCGCTCGCTGTTAGGCATGGCAGGGTATTACCGCAAATTTTATACCCCAGTACGCTTCCATTACAGCTCCACTCACCGACCTCACCCGTAAAATGGCACCAAACAAGGTCATTTGGACTCCAGCCTGTGATCATGCATTTTGACTCCTAAAAGCGACACTTAGCTCATGTCCAGTATTGAGCAGTCCAGACTTCATGAAGCGTTTCTTCCTGTAAACCAATGCGTCAGAGAGAGGAGTTGGGGCTGTCCTGGCGAGGATGGAACGGATCGCCCCATAGCTTACTTCAGCCGGAAATTGCTACCTCGCGAGCAACA